TTAAAAAATGGGCAGAAGAACTGAATAGACATTTTTCTGAAGAGGAAATGCAGATGGCTAACAGGCAAATGAAAAGATGCTCCACATCTCTAATCACCAGGAAATGCAAATCAAAACCACAGCGAGATACCACCTCACACCTATCAGAATGGCTATCAAACAACACAAATAACAAAAGTGGGCAAGGATGTAGAGAAAAGGGAACCCTCATACACTGTTGGTGGGAACGTAAATTGGTGCAGCCACTATAGAAAACAGTATGGAGGTTTCTCAAAAAACTAAAAACAACTACCATATGCTCCAGCATTTCCATTCCTGCGTATATATCTGGAAAAAACAAAAAAACGAATTCAAAAAGATACATGTGCCCCAATGTTCATAGCAGCATTATTTACAATAGCCAAGATATGGAAGCAACCTAAGTGTCCATCAATAGATGAATGGATAAAGAAGATGTGGTCTGTCTATACAAAGGAATACTACTCAGCCATAAAAAAGAATGAAATTTTGCCATTTGCAGCAACATGGATGAACTTGGAGGGCATTATGCTAGGTGAAATAAGTCTAGACAGAGAAAGACAAATACTGTATGATATCTCTTATATGTGTAATCTTTAAAAATACAACAAACTAGTGAATATAAGTAAAAAAAAAAAAAGCAAGAAAAAAAAAAGCAGACTAACAGATACAGAGAACAAACTAGTGGTTACCAGTAGGAAGAGGGAAGAGGGGAGGGGGCAATATGAGTCTTAGGGGATTAAGAAGTACAAATTATCAGGTATAAAATAAGCTACAAGTATATATTGTACAACATGGGGAATATAGCAAATATTTCAGTATCTATAAATGGAGTATAACCTTTAAAAATTGTGAATCACTATATTGTACATCTGCAATTTATATAATAGTATACATCAACTATACTTCAATAAAAAAATCTTTTTTAACTTCAAAGCATTTTATAAACTTAATTTTATTGTTTTTGTGGCTTTATTGGATTTTAACTTGTATATTTGTTGTAGTTTTGGGTTCTTCCTAAGAACTCTAACAAAAATATAACTTATTTTATATTTTTACATATTTAATTGTAATGAAAATATTCTTAAGACAGATAAGAATAGTTTACTTTTAAAACGGTATGTATATAAGTTGAGTTTGAGGAAGTCTGATTTATGCCTATATTTTCAACTTAGATTCTATATATTCGTGGAGGTGATTTTTCAATTCAGGATTTTTTCTCCTTTGTTCCTTATCAACAATATGAACAGGTTAAAAAAAAGAAGTTCTGATTCATAATGACATGGAGCTGAAGTTTTACTATATTGTAATGAGAATGATTTCCTTAGGTTCCTTACAGATTGACCTAAAATCAGTTTCAGAAAAAGAGTTTCATAAATGATGAGACAAACAAAAAGAAAAGGTACACAAAAATACACATATGCAGGTAGCTAGGTAGACTGAGATATGGTATGAAATTCCTGTCCCAGGATAAAGACTTTATAAATGAGCAACATATTTAGAGAGAGTTTGGTGATTAAATTACCTTTTTAGTTAGTTTTAAACATTTTCTAATTGCACAAAAATATTTTTGACTTCTCAGATTTATATGGCTTATACTTGTGTTTTTTTTTATTTCCCTGTGCTATACAGTGTAATCTTGTTTATCTATACTACAATTTTGAAATCCCAGTCTATCCCTTCCCACCCTCTACCCCCCTGGTAACCACAAGTCTGTATTCTCTGTCCATGAGTCTATTTCTGTCCTGTTATACTTGTGTTTATACTAAGGTTACCCTCTCTTTTCTAAGAACATCCATCTCTTATTATTTCTCTTATCTGGAGACCTATGTCTCCAGATATGCCCATTTCCTCTTTCTGGTGACATCATGTGTGCCAAGTGTCCATGTTGATGCCCAGTGTGCGGTGGGGACTAAGTAAGTTGTAGCCCTTGTTCTTATCTCAGTATAAACTTAGATACTTATGGGAATCAAATGGAAAAGCAAAAGTAAGTAGGTTTTACTTGAAAAATGTTAGAGTTCCCCAAGTGGAATGATCTTAGAAATCAGGAATTCTAGCCTTTGTACAAAGCACCTCCCCACGAAACCTCTCCCATAGGAGTCTTTCCAGACATGTCAACACTTAGTGGCAGAAAACTCATGCCACTTCCAGGGCCACACATTTCTAATTGTCTGCCAGTTCTCATCACATTGATTAGAGATGTGACTCCCAGAAAAGTGTATCAGTTCTATACCTTATCTGGCCTCGTGCAGCCTGAGAGAATGTATGCTTTCTGTGTCAGCTCCTCAAGTATTTGAAGAGAGTAAACATTACGATTTAAGCCAAGTGCACTGAACTGTTTCTCAGACCTGAGGATCTGAAGTCTCACATCCTCAGTTGCCTTTCTCATCCTGGTTCTTGGCATCCCTTTGCAGTCGAGATGTTATCCAGAAATGGACACACTGTTCATAATATGGTCTGGTCACATTAGAGTAAAAAGGTCCACATGTTCTGTATACATTTTGAGACTTGAGACTGCATTTACATCCTGGGAATTCTAATTCTCTTTGTATCAAGAAATAAAGAAGGGGTGACTTTTTTTAAGTAGCTTCATTTATTAAACGTTCAATTTAAATGTCTTTATCTTAATCGACTGTTGCATAGAATGAACCAAAATTGCTCTGCGCATTTTAATTCTCCTGCTGCTTAATCATGGAATAATACATTGTGGCTCTGGGCAGGAATGAGAATATCAGTCTTTTGATTCTGTTGCTGTCTGATTCCATTGCCGCGGTGTCTCGAGCATCGCCCTTAGGTACTGTGGTCCTTTCCTTTGTCACCAGGTCATGCCGCTCTTCCTACATGGATGAGGACTGTGACTCGCTGGCCCTCTGCGATCCCATGCAGAGGATGAACTGTGACGCCATGCAGAGGATGAACTGTGACGTTGACAGCCTCCCCGAGAGCTGCTTCGACAGCGGCTTGTCTACCCTGAGAGACTCCAACGAGTATGACTCGGAGGTGGAGTACAAGCACCAGAAGGGGTTCCAGAGGTCACACGGCACACAGGAGAGCTTTGGGGGGGACGCTTCAGACACAGACGTAAGCCCCAAAGTCACTGCTCTCCTAGGCCTGATCTTCGATAGAAATATGTATACCGCCCTGTTTGACTTTAATCTGTTGTGGGCAAGGTTTTAAAGATCATACATGTGAAATAGAGTCAGGAGAATGGTTTTCTCTACAAAGTAGGGAAAACTCTCACAGGTTTCCTCTTGCGGCCACTCTGTTCCATTAACAGCATTGACTGTAGATTCAGCTGCATATTTTTCTTCTTTTAATTCTCGATATTTATGTGTAATGAGATACTTTGTTTTTTAATGGCTGACTTTTCAAAAAAAAAAACAGGTTCCTGATATAAGGGATGAAGAGACATACAGCTCGGAAGGCATGGCTTCCATCCTGGACTGGAAGCCCCAGGGGTCTGCTAGTGAAGGCAGCGTCCTTAACTCCTCGAGAAAGCCCATCTCAGCACTTTCGCCACAGGTAGGTGGTCTCGGAGGCACTTTTATTCATGAACACTGTTCATTTTCATGCCGTATAACTGACGAGGAAGAAAGCTGGCACTCCTTTGTCACCCACTGTGGCTTTCTTCCCCTAGACAGACATGGTGGACGATAACCATAAATCTGCCGGCTCCCAGAAGGCTTACAAGATTGTGCTCGCTGGCGACGCTGCAGTGGGGAAGTCCAGTTTCCTCACGAGACTTTGCAAGAATGAATTTCGAGGAAATACAAGTGCCACCCTGGGTACGGTTCCTTTTTCAGTGGATAATGGGAAAATGACCTTCTTTAGCTTTATTCTATTTCCTTTAGGGATTATATACACAGACACACAGACCTCTCTCTCTTTCTCTCTCTCTCTGTATAATGCACGTGTAATGGGGTGCGTGTGTGCATGTGCTTGTGTGTATGTGTCCTTGTCTATAGAATAGTCCTCCTATGTTTTGGCTAAGGCATAAATTTGGGAAAGGAAGACTAACAAAGGACTAAGGTATCTACTGACCCAGTGAGATCAACCAAACCAAGTTTAGAGCCAGAGATGATAAGATTCATTTTTTCAGCAAGCATTTCCTGGGTCCTACTGTGAGCCACATACTGTAGGCACTATGGATACACAACAGACAAAGCTGACCAAATCCCAGCCCCCAAGGAACTTTCATCCCAAAGGAGAGAAATAGATGGAAAACAAATTAAAAAATGAGGTTTGAGAGAGGTGCACTTTCACATACAGTGCCCAGGGAACGCCTTTCTGATCTGGTGTCACTTGATGTTGATATAGTGACATTTGTGTTGGCCAGTTTGTTATTATGGTCAAAATCATAGCCGGGTGTATGTTCCCTCCCTTCCTGCACAGTGGAATACGTGAGTAATACGTCTCAGAACAAGGAAAAAGTCGTGTTCTGATTGCCCAAATTTGCATAATAATCAGGAAAAGGAGTTGAAGATATGCAAATTATCTTTTTTTTCATCTAAAGAGTTCTTATTTTGATAACCAGAAATGTTACAACAGATTGATTACCCTCTTCACAATGAGTGTCTTTGTAAATTTATGGTTCTCTGTTATACCCTTCAAGATAACAAAGCTGAAAGTTCACTTCAACTTGTCATAAAAAGACTACAACATTTGGTTCAGTTGCTAGGATGCATGGCATATCTATATATCATATAGACATACATGTATACATATACGTGCACACATGTATACACCTGCATGTATACATAGGCATATTTATGTGCATGCACACACACAGATGTAACTGAGTCCATCTAATTACATGGACAAACAGAATATAGATTTTTCTTTTGTCCATAGATTAACTCCTTCCCCAAGTCAGCCAACCTGCAGACATGCGTCTGCACAGACATGTGGTCTGACTTATAATTAGTATGTGAAGGTCCCTCTCCTTGAAGGCCAGGTTCATCTCTCTCTACCTCACTGAACATTAGCTTATTGGCACTTGTCTCATCTAAAGAGGGCTTGAAAGTAAAAACCAGTGGAATTGTTTACATCATATTCTCCATGTTCTCTTATTATATTCTTTTTCAGGAGTTGATTTTCAAATGAAAACCCTCATCGTAGATGGAGAGCGAACAGTCCTGCAGCTCTGGGATACGGCTGGTCAGGAGAGGCAAGTGCTTTTCATGATCTTTTGGGTTCTGCCGAGGTTTGCACAGACATGCCTTTGTAGGATGCCTGGTGTTTTTATACTCATAATTATATAATTCTGATGTAGTATGTTAGAATTTCAAGAATGCTCACTTTTTTCCACTTCCTCCTTCACTGATCCATCAGTTGTGTGAGAAGAGGATCTTTAAGCTTCCTTTGAACTGGTGACCCACCGGGAAAAAGAGACTGCCCTTTCCTAACAGGAGAATTGCAGTGAGACAGGACCTTATCTTGCATTCTTTGCTGGTGGCCCAAAGCATCAAGCCTAGGTTTTAATCTTACCCAACTCTTTGGAAACACACTCCATCCAGTTGTTCAAGTGTGGGGGTACCTGCTGACCTCTATAACCAGGCACCATTCAGGGTGTTCAGATTCAGCAGTGAGCAAATGGACACAGGTACCTGCCCACATGGAGCTCATTTTCTCTAGCAGCTTGGGAGTATCAGCATTTAAAAAATCTGTGTGGTTGGCATAGTATTTGAGATCCTGTGAAATACTGCACTTGGTTTAGAGTTAGGACACACAGGTGGAGGTGTGCTCTTCCTGCTGGACCCCCAACGCCCCGTGTATGTGTGTTATGTGTTCCACATGGTTAGTTCCTCCACCTGCCCACCAACAATACTCCCTACCAACCACCCCGAAAAATCGTATGTCTCTGATGTGTGTCTCCTTCCATCCTTCTCTATGTCCCACACATGGGTTCTGGTAGCTTGTTGCTGAGCTGAAATTTTTAGACATTATGGTCTCAACCTTGTCCTGGTTATGCTTTGGAGTTTGTAGACATTCTTGGGATTGGTGGGAAAAAATGATTAGCTTTTCTAAATCACTAGCCGAGATTCTTACCCTGTTACCTGTCACCAGGTCATTCTAGGCCTCGGGGAGGGCAATTTCACAGTAATTGGTTACCACTGGATTCTTCTCAGCTGGGGCTTGTTTTAGAAGATGAGAAAAAAGTGAGCATGAGAGAATGAGGCGGCACCAAACCGACCGACTGATCAGAACTGTTACTCACGTGCTTTTCTCTTTTCCAGATTCAGAAGTATCGCCAAGTCTTACTTCAGAAGAGCAGATGGTGTTTTGCTGCTGTACGATGTCACGTGTGAGAAAAGCTTTCTTAATGTACGGGAATGGGTAGATATGATTGAGGTAAGAAATCAAAACAGAGAGACAGAAAACTTACATGGGAGAGTTAGAGGCTGTCTCGGAAAATGCTGTTTCTCTTCTCTGTCCAAGTGAACTTGAGTAGAAAGCCCTGATCCAGGCTGTCAGGAAGGACTGGATTGAGAAGCAGGTTCCCAGTATCGGTCTCTTCCTCAGCAGCTGGGCCAAGTTCCCACAGAGCCAAGGACGCCACTAAAGTGAGCTTCTGGGGAGAAAAAAAAATCTTGGGTTCTGAAAGAGGAAATCAGAACCCCCTTGGCAGCAAGTAAAACTTCAGGCAACCCAAGAAGGAGCAGCAGCTCAGAAACAAGGGGGTGATGGGGCTGGGGTGTAACGTGACAGGATGTGTAATGGGAGACCCATGTGTGCTAGAAGCAGAAGTGAAACATGACCTGGCTGTGAGCTTGAGCCGGGTCCAAATTCTATAGGAACTGCATTCTCAACCTTATTTTTTCTGGTTGTGATTTGGGTCTTTGCACATTCCAAGGCACCACTGAAACCAGCAGTTGGTATTTTAAACCTGGGTGGGAGCTATCTGTGTTTCCCCTTGATCAAATAAGATGGTGTCATTCATCTGAGGAGCTTTCACATTCTTTGTTTTATGGTAAATAATTTTTTTAAGTAGGAAGTAATTTCAACCACAGTTAATATGCTACCAGAAGTTATTAATCACCATGGTTCGGCATCAGTCTCCTGGTTCAGCATACTCTTTTGGAAGAAACAAAACAAAACCAGTAGCTAACACAGGTTTTCAAGCAGGTCTTTTATCTGTAATTTTTAACAGGCATTAAGTGCAGTGGGGGCTGAACAGAGAACTGATTGCTATCTGATCTCAAATTAGCCCCAGATTCTTCAGTTGGGCCTCTTTCATACCTGTAAAACACCAAAATGAATGTTCTCTTTCTAACTAAAGAAGTAATGTAAGAAATGACTGATTGAAGTTGCAGTAAGACCCAGGCAATGATAAATGAACGCATCTTTTGTTCAACTGAAATATCATGACTTAAAATTATAAATACAACAAAAGGGTGTTGACATTTATGTAATATTTTTATTTCACAAAATTTTCCACACGCTATATTCATCTCTGTAACATATCAGAGAAAAGAAGTAGGAAATGTAATGTTATCCTCACTTTTCATGAGAAACCTGAGGCATAGAAGGTGTATGACACTTGCTTTTAGTTATTTAGAGGTTAGGGGTAGCAGGGGGAGTTGGACATCCTGATTCAACACTGGTTGCTCCTTTGATTAAGCACCAGAGTGAGCAGCAGATTAAGGAAAAATCTTTTGCTGTCAAGAAAGGCTCTCCAAGGTAGTTAGTAGGTAGAGGAGGGGCATCGCCTCAAGGGAACAGGTGGACCTCCCTGGGATAGACCAGTGAGTTCGGAGAATAACGGGGAATCCCAGCTAACTCATACCTATGTGATATTTAAGATCTATAGCAAAACTTTTTATTGTTGAAACTGTTGGACTTGGTCTTCATTTTAAGACTTTGGATTATACTCAAGAAAAGGAGGCATAAAGGCAGGCTCGGCCATATAGTAATGAAATAGCCCTTAGTGACCAGCTGTGGCCTCTGCCAGGGGCCCCATTACCGTAATTTGATAAATAAATTAGCACCTACATGTGGTAAGTGTAGCTATCCCTGTTACTTTTCATGTGGTCTAAAAAGGAAGAAAACTGTATTCAAGAAGAGTTCTTGAATTTGTTATGGAGAGAAAATTAGATGCCATCAGACTCTGACTTTCACTTATCACAGTGAACCTTCGCCACGGCTCACCTTTTCTAATTTGAGGAAATTCTGTGGATGCTATCTCAGTGGGCACAATAAGAGCGGGTAGAAACCAATGGTGAGATTGTTGGGATAGGCCAGAGGCCTGAGAAGCAGTAGAATGTCTGTGAATTAATCATTAATGCACTTAGACTGAAAACCACTGGGTTACAAAATCTTGTGATAAAATTATGGCCATTTACGTGTGTCACGAGTTACTTATTGATTGAATACTTGGGTAAAAATTGGATGGAGACACTTGAGACATGAGATCTCTTCCCAACTTCTACACATTCAAAAGTATTTTAGGCATGGTAGGGACGGTATAGCTCAGTGGTAGAGCACATGCTTAGCATGCATGAGGTCCTGGCTTTAGTCCCCAGGACCTCCATTAAAATAAATTAAATAAATAAACCTAATTACCTCCCCAGGTGAAAAATAAAAATAAAATAAAGTAAATCTAAATATAAGTATATACATTTGGAGGGAGACATACCTGTTTTGTGCGTGTGCTATGCTAGTGCTTGCTGTATATCCATTAATAAAATGGAGCTTGTACTCGAGTAGGGGAGACATAACACTCAACAAACATAAAATAAATAGAATGATAGAAAGTGATAAATGTTGTAGAAACAAAAAGAGGGCAGGGGAAAGGGGGCTTATGGCGAGGCAGTGGGTCAGAGTAGACTCGCCAGGAGGTGATATTTGAGTCAAGACCTGAAGGAGGTGCTGGTATTTACCTGTATGACTTGGAGAAGTCATTTAGACGCTCGGATTCTTGGCTTACTTCGTCGAATATTTGATTAACGGCTTCCCTCTGAGGCCCCTCTGGATCCCGAGCAGTTGCCCACTGAACACAGGTACTTAACATGTTAGTTGGCGGTCTGTCTGGTTTGGGTGGGCCTTTCATTTCCTGCTCCCCTGCGCTTTTATTTCACTCTGATGAGTTCGGTTGGAGGAAAATGGTCCGAAGAGAAAGGAAGTCAGATGTAATTTCACTGTCTTTAAGGCTCATGTCCTGATTCCGTGCCAGGTGCAGCACCACACTGGATGAGCACCTGGATGTCTTTAGGCGCTGCAGAGTCATTTCCCCACACCTCAGTAGGGCTGCTGCTTCTCTTGTCCAGGAACCAGAAACCTGTTTTTCTAGTCAGGTGGTCTTCTGTTCTCATCATAGCTTGCTGAGGTGGGATGTGCCCTCACTGACCCCTTCATTTTCCAGTTAGGGAAACGGAGGCAGAAACAGGCGGAGACAGCGGCCAGGGCGGGGTCTCAAGCTTGGCTGCCTCCCCCCTCTTCCATCCTGCCGGCCAGCTCCTCTGAGTGCCCGGACGGTGCGGCGGAGCGCTGTGCTGCCTCGGGGGCCTCATTCCGAGGATCCGGTGCTCTGAATGATCGCTTCTTGACTCCTCACAAGAAGAACGTTGACCTTGAGGCCTTCATATTGTGCTTCTGTTATAAACCAGACAGCAGCGGGTGTGGAACTGCCAAACTTCACTTTTGCCCCATTACAGCTGAGGGAATGCTCGTGTGTTTTGTACCTGGGATAATGAAGTTGACTTGTAGTCACCACTGTTAGGAGTGAAAATTGCAGAAAATAATGTGGGCATCACAGCCAGATAGAATTCTGTGGTCCTGCCTCTTGAGTTTGTATTGGTTTGTATAGTGGGAAGGGTGATGGAGTCTGTTGAACCCTGGCCCCGGCCCTCACAAGGTCTTCTTGAACCGCTCTGAACTTCAGTGTTCTCACCTGGCAGTGGGGAAAAGTTTGGCTCTTTTTAGAGCCAGTTTGAGGTTTAAAGACATTGTACATCACGTGGCACATCAGGGGCATTTGGAAGTAGTGGCCGTTGTAGTCATCTTCCTCATAACTTGTCCAGTGTTTGACATCTGCACAACTTTGTTCTTTTCTTCGTGGTAGGATGCAGCCCATGAGAGCATTCCTATCATGTTGGTAGGAAACAAGGCTGATCTTCGTGACGCTGCTGAAGCAGAGGGACAAAAATGTGTCGCAGGGTTCTTTGGAGAAAAACTGGCCATGGTAAGAGTGAGAGCGGGTCCAAACTGGAGGGGTCTTCAGCTTTTGTCTGCCTTTGCTGAAGAGGTGTTTTTTGTTTGTTTTGTTTTGTTTTGTTTTTGACAAACCTCCACTCTGTTTGATGGGTCTTCTGTCCTTCTATAGACAGAACTCCCAGTGGCCCCCCTCTGCCCCATGAATGTAAGTAATTGCACCAAGAATTAAATCACTTGTAGAGGTAAAACAGTCACCTGATCATTTTCCCCACGGAGTATCAATGACAAAGAAGAGGCAAAGTTATTCCGTCTTCCTCCTCACTCTTCCCCGGTTCCTGGAATCCTTCTCTCGTCCTGGAATCCAGGCAAAGGAAGAAGAATGGGTGTCCTATTTCGAAAAGATGGGTTTGGTTCCAGAAGGTCCCTGTGCCAAGGGGCAGCGGATGTTGCAGTGTGTCTCCTGGGTGAAGGGGTGAAGAGAATTGAAAGACTCGTTCTTTTCTCTAGGATTTGTACTCAGCTGCAATAGCATACGCTAATTTTTGGATATGCATTTGCATAAAGGATAGACCCCGTTCTGTCCAGATTATTACTGTGGGCAGTGTTTATTGTCTCATTATTACCCTTGTGTCAGAATGCTGCATGGCCCTCCTGTGACTTGTCTTACCAGAACAAGGAATCAGATGCTCCTTGGGTCAAATAAGTTCTTACTGTAACCGTCTGGTTTGACGTTGTTGTCTGTCGTCAGAACAGACAGCAACCATGAACAGACTGCTCTGTAGCATATATGTGTGAACTTTAAAGAGAAGTTTCAATTTCATTATTTGAAGTTGGAATTGTTTCATGTTTTAAATTTTAGAACTGTGAACAAAATATGATAAACATCAAAACTAGGCAGTGAAATACAGAAGAGATTCATTCAACACACATTTAATGGTGTCCAGCATATGAAAAGCACTTCCCTGTGAGCTGAGCAAAGGGTAGAGAACAAAGCAAACTGTCCTTGCCCTCACATAGTTTACCATCGGGGGGGCGGGGGGAGACAGACATTAAGCCCATGTAACCCACACATCCCCCAGGAGATCTCGTAGTTCCTGGACACATGCCAGTTTCATTCCCTCCCCATGATGTCTCAGATTTCCCAAGGTTTGCTGACTTAATATGCATCTCATGACCTCCATCCTCCTGCATCCTCAAAGGCAGTCTCCATTTAACCCCATAACATCCTGGCTGTGAAACTCAGCAGCAGCACTGCCCACTTCTACTAGAAACACAGACATTTGGGGGTATTTCTTTGGCTTTTCTATGGATTTGGGGGCTCATGGGTAAAGGTTTCACAGTCGTCTTTCCCCATTGTTTGGTTCTTGCCTCCCTCCCTGCTCCAGAGCACTCACCACACCACCCACCTTATCCCACACAGGACTGTGTAACCCACACCCAGCCCCACAGCACACACAATTCTCCTTTCCTAAGGGGAGTTGTCTCCAGCTTGTTAGACCAAGACACACAAAAATAACTTTATCAGTTAAACAGTCATGGAAAATGCTATGCTGGAAAAATAACATACACCAGATTTTGTAATAGGAAAACCTAATATCGAGTTTTCAGAGTTAGAAAACACTTAATCTTAACTTTGGGAAAGGATTACCTAAAAATCTAGAAGGTATGCAGAAGTCAGCCTAGTGAAGGGGTTAACAGGAGCAGGGGATAGCCTAGGTAGTGGGAACAGCAAGTGCAAAGGTCCTGAGGTAGGAGGGAATCTGGAGCATGGGAGAAATAGAGGGACGACCAGAGTAACTTGAGCATTGTGAGGGAGGGAGAGCGGCAGCAGGTCAAACTGGGAGGTTGGCTGGGGCCACAAACAAACTAGGCCTTGTCAACCAGGTATGCATTTCAACATTACTTGAGAGGGATGGGAAGCACTGAAAGGGTTGAAGCAGGAGAGTGATATGATTGATGATCATATGTGTAACCACTGGGGGGTTGAATAATAGAGGCCTAGAAAATGTCCATAGGTTTTAGCAACACAAAGGCTGCTGAGTCTTGATAGGAAAAGATAATAGGGGGGAAGGGGTGTGTGTTAGCTGCTGGCCAAGAGGAGACAGACTTTTGATGGACATTTAATGCCTGAGTGGTTACCTTAAGGTATCCTTTTTCTCTCTCTAAAATTATTTGATAGAGAACATTTGGTAGCATGTGTGACTCTTCAGAAATAAGAGCCTTTAAACATAAAATTTTGCATTGTGGCTTTTGAGGGCGGCGGGGTACGAAATAAAAATCCTCTGACTAAGAACTGTTCCTGGAATAACTAGACTCAAACCTGTTTTTTTTTTAAAGTATTGAAACCAAATACTTGAAAGAATTTGAATCCAATTTCTTAACTGTTAGTTTTGGCTTACTCAACAGGGGAATATTTTTATTTTATTTTATTGGTTTTAAAAGCTAACATTTCAGGAAACCAATTAAAGCCTTCATTTAATGGTTTGGGTTGTTTTTTTTTTCACAGACCTACGGAGCATTATTTTGTGAAACAAGCGCCAAAGATGGTTCGAATATAGTGGAAGCTGTTCTCCATCTTGCTCGGTAACATTTGCTTATATTTGGAAAACTGGATGTAGAATTGAATTTTCTCTTAGCTATTGCCTGTGTCAGATTTCTTGACCATAACACAAATCTCCATTGGAAAACACTGTCTCATCTTTCAGTAGTGGTTGGAGAAACAATTAAATGTAGTTTTTATAAAAACTGGTAGTACTGCTTATTCACTGTGAACTTTGGCAAGATACCTTTACTGCCAAACAAAGCAGGTGCATCTGAGGTGTCGTTGACATTTCTGCAAAATGTCACCACAAAGCTAATAGTTGACATGTGTGAATCACTTCCAGGAACCAGATTTTAAATACAAGAGACTATTATGAATATCTATTATGACATTTTCCAGGGTAAAAGAAAAAAACTCCACAAAGTAAATTATGTATCATGCCAGTTGGAACCACCTTGTTTAAAGTATTACCCAGGTTATTATTAAGCTAAAGCAGTGGTGTTAATCATAAATAATATTTGGAGATGTGAATTAGAATGAAAATTGAATCACTGAGGAACTTAGATTTAACTGTGAGTATTTTAATCCTTGCAGTATTCTTAGGAAATAACAATGTTTTTCCTTAGATTTATTTCTTCTTCCTAGTTTTCTGCCACAAATGAAAAGATGATTCTTTGCTGGTCTAAAGGGATTAAATACAGCAAAAAAAAACAGAGAGAGAGAGAATTAAAATGTGCATTAATAAACTCCAGGCCAGTGATCTTTAATTGCTGACAAAGCTAAAACATAATTTTAGGCATGTAGTTCTTTTCCAGATCATTTGTGAGAGTCTGGTTTTATAAGAATCTTTAGTACAACAGAGGGCTCAGCGCTACCTCAGCCTTAGGTAGGGCATGCTGAATTGCTGCCCCGCCTGAGCAGGAAAGGATGCTGCAGGTCAGGCCCTCTGGGTGGCTGTTGGCTTCTGCCCAGCATATGGAGGACTGTGGTGTCAGGAGGCTCAAGGTCCAATCTTAAATGTACCCCGAACAGCTGTGGAGTCTTGACTGCGTCCCTGTCTTCCTTCAGCATCTCTGATCTGCATAATGAGGGAGGAGCCGAAGAAAAGGACCCCAAAGGCCTTTTCTAGTTCTGATAGTCTATGATTCTCTGTATAACAGCTTGGACTCCACTGAGTAACGTTATCACTGTTTAACGCTGACTTATCTTGTGGGGTCATGATACAGTTAAATGACTCCAAATTGCCACGGTCACACCCAGAGGGCAGAATCGATTCTCTTTATTGTATCATAAAGATAAGAGAGCTTGAGGCCGCCTGTGCCTCTCCCCTTCTGCTCTTGCTGGTGCGTTGGGTCAGCCCAGTAGCCACCCTGTTTACAGGGCAGCTGCTTTGCTGAAAACACAGGTGTGCAGAAGCACTTTTTGTGAATCACTTATCAAGGAGCTTTTTAAATTGTTATTGCATTATGGCCTGGTTTGAGGCCTCCAGGTTAGTTATGTTAACAATGTGTTAAATGTGAAAATTATAAATAAAGCAAACATGTAAAGAATTTCATTTGCTTTATACTGCGCTATCAGATTTGCTAGTCGGAATACCCAAGACTTAAATGAAACTGGTATAGTTTCCACAGGTAAAATTACCACTTAAGAAAGTTTTATCACCTTCAGAATGTTATGTATAATGCAGAACACATAAGTTCTTGATTTAGATCTCATAATTCCCAGCCCGGTCACTTTCATGTCATGGCATAAAACTTGGAACTAGAAGAGTTTATGGATTTGCATTGTGTGAAACAGAATTTGTTTTTGAAGGGAGGCCATAAATGTTTGGTTAACAACCTGAACTCCTCTGCTATTTCTTGGAAAACCTCTCAATCCAGGATAAGTTTCTCCTGGAAATGCAGTTTCCCCGTAGGGCTGACAGGACATTCATTCCAGCCATTGTCCACTGGTAAGTAACTTCACCATCACGAGAGAGGCTTTAAACATTCTGCAATAGATTCAAGTTCAACAGGCATTAAATCAGTCAATGGCCTGAAATCTGAGAAAAACACAAAAAGCTCGGGCTGATGTATCAGTTCAGCACCATTACTAAGCCCATTGGGTGTAAATCTGTCCATAAGATTGAGTCATTTAAAATGCAGGTATTGGGGGAGGGCATAGCTCAGTGGTAGAGTGTGTGCCTAGCATGCACAAGGTCCTGGGTTCAATCCCAGTACTTCCACTAAACATAAATAAATAGAAGCCTAGTTACCACCCCCCCAAGGAAAACAAAACAAAAATAAAAATAATAAAATAAATAAAATAAAATAAGATGTAGTTGTTAAGCATATGGTAGCTTTTGGTGAGGTAATTTAAATTTCCCTGCCATAATCCTTTTTTCAGATGTTTGGAATTATATCTTCATGATTTCCATAAAATGGGGTGTACCCGCATTTTTGGTAGATTAAAGAAACTGAAGGTCAGGTGAACAACATGGGTTCCCATCTTTCTCCCTTAATACTTGCTTTCAGGTTCAATAATGACTGCATTATTGTGCGTGCTCAGCATGAAAGGCCTGTAGAGGTAGCAGGGCACGTAAGACAGGCTGTGCAATGTCACGTGAGTTGTATTAGTTTTCTACCAAGAGTAGTCTGTGTGTGTGCATGTGAGTGTGCACATGAGTGTACGTGCCTGTGCACATGTGTCTCTGCGTGCACGTGTGCATGTAGGCATGTGTGCATTGCGGCGTGTGTGTGTGTATGTGTGCGTGCATGAGGGTGCGGCCTGGGGCTCAGAATGCAGGCGCTGGAGCTCTGGCGTGGTTGGAATCTCAACTTTGCCACTTCTCCAGCGGTGTGACCTAAGGGAAGTTTTTTAATGTGTGTTTTTTTAACTTCCGTTTCCTCTCATGTAAAATGGGGCACAACAAAATCATCTAGTTGTCTTGAGGATTAAATAAGTCAACACTTACAAAGCATTTAGAACAGTCTGGATGGCACACAGCAAGTGCTCAGCAGTTCTGTTTTATTTCTACAGAACTGTTTGTGGTTCAGTTTTATACCTCAGTAATCTTCCTCCCTGTGTCTTTATGTCTCTCTCTCTCTGCAGGGAAGTGAAAAAAAGAACTGATGAGGATGACAGCAAATCTGTTACCAATCTGAGTGGGACCAGTTCCAGAAAGTCAACCCAGATGAAGAATTGTTGCAATGGTTAAATCCAGAACATCCTTGGCCCAAGAAGCCTTCATTTCCAGAGTACCAAATGTGTGTGACTTTGCTTCCGACATAGAGTGGTGCATCCTGCGGACACTGTCAAATGGAGAGTATGTGGAATCCAAACCGTGCTCTCGGGTCCCTCCAGAACGTTGGTCTTTTTTTTCTTTTGCTATGTTTCAGTAAATGATTTGGGCCCCCTGGTTAAATATACCTGTCTTGTCCCTACAGAGTCTTAACAGATAACATATAAATGTCTTTAAAGTAGTAAAACACACACACACACACACACGCACGCTTAGATCAAAGCTAGAGAAGAAGTTCACTGACATATTAGATTCATATGATAGCTGACTTGGTAGATAACCTACAAAATTTACTTCCAACTGGCAACACTAGAAAACTGGTAAAAAGATGGTTACCATCCTAGCTTTGCTGTAAACTAGCCTTGTGGTCTCAGACAGGTCACCAGCCCACATCAGATCCATTTCCCCATCTGTAAGACAAGCAGCTTGGCCTTTCAGGCCTCAGCCCTCTCGGTTCTGCAGCTCTTCGAGCAGTGCTAAGAAGCACGTGATGGGCCACCGCTAATAAGGACTCTGGTCACTTGCACTTTTTAAATATTGGAGTATTCATTTTTCTTACACAAGAACAGAATTAAATTGAGGAAAAATAATGTTTTAAGCTCCAATGGAGACAGGAAAATCTATTTTTTTTAATGTATAAAGAAAAAAAGCATTTTTGCAACAAAAATAGTTTGTATATAAGAGGGTATTTTATAATCTCAGAATACGTATAAAGTCCGTGGTTTGAATTCAATGTTAAAAGTTCTAATGAAAATATATATACCACATAAACACATGCTACTGAAAATACCATGCCCAGGAAAGGTGTCATTCTTAACTTAAACAAAAAAAACCCCAGCAAGTGATTGCCAGGGGCTGGTGAAAGGGAGGAACTGAGAGTGACTGCTAATGGATGTGTGGTTTCTTTGCGGGGGGTGATGAGAATGTTCTGGAATTGTATTGTGGTAATGTTTGTTTTTTTGTATTGTGGTAATGTTGCACAACTTTGTGAATATACTAAAAAACCCACTAAATTGTATATTTTAAATAGTGAATCTTATGGTATGTGAATTACATCTCATTTAACAAATACACTAACACCTAGAACAATTTAACATTTTGCCAAATGAAAATACTCATGCTCGAACGTCCCCTTGGTTTAAAAGCATAATCTCCAGCATCACGCAAGTCTTCTAACTCCCTGGTTGCCAGCATTCACTTCCTTAAATAATGAACAGTGAAAGAAATGTTGTATGGTTTTGGAAAATCATCTCTTCTGAGAAGGAGTTGTGGTTAGGGGACAGGTGAGTCAAAGTCCTTTGTCTGAGGTGACTCGTGACCCATCCTCTCCAATGGCCTGTTGAGTCTTACTCTCCTAGAAACCGTACTGCCACCCAGGCTTCCCCACTGAAATGTCTCCGAGAGCCAAAGGAGTCAACACCTGAACCCAGGGTGAGTTTTTGCTTTTGGTTTTCAGTGGCCTGCACCAACTAAGTTCCTCCTAACCAGAGACTTGAATTTACCTTGATTCATAGGACCAGGCCCCAAGCAGCATGCTGGAATAACTTAAATAATAGCTCTTATTTATTGTACTACATAAGCTAAAAACATCTCTTTTGTAGAATTAAAATAATTCCATGTAGCAGTTCTCCTCCTGTTTATGATTTTTTTGATCAGATCTTAAATTCCCCAAGCTTTATTTTTTTTTAATGAAAATTGACCAGATATATTACACACACATTATAAATAGCCACACCATCATTTAACTTTTCAAAGCATGCCTTCTCTGTGTTGAGGAGATCTAGGCATTTTTTACTGGAAAGTTGGTTCTGTCCTCAACAGCTCTACCATGGATTCCTGTTTTGTTTTTTTCATCCCAGGAAAAAAAAAATTTCTAAACTTTTTAACTAAAAAGTATGCCTCGCAGGTGGGGAGTTGTCAAACTGAATCAGGGAAGGAGAGGTCGTTATTTCTGTGCCATCATGGTGAGGCGCAGGTTAGAATGGACACCCAGGTGTTGACATATGGTACTCCTGCTTAGGTGTTTGGTGCAATTGAACAAAACTGTGTTAGTATAAATGTTATTGCGTCATCTTTATTTATTTTCCCCCAAAGTGTCTATATTTGTCTTACAATATGTGTATAAGAGTATACCTTTGGTACAGAAGTGTTAACTTGGTCTTTGCTTCTGGAGTGTGTTGATTAAATTAATTAGATTACATGGGCACCTCTGACAGACAAAGCAATCATCTTTAACTATTTACACCTGTCATAATATTTTTGCAACAAAATCTAAATGAGAGACTTACAGCTCTGGTTAGCAATCTTGTTTAAAGAAAAGGCTACTTACAGTTATTTCAGTCGCCTTGTTAAGAAATCAAGATTATTACCAACATTTAATTTCGTGAAGGTGTTCTCAAATTTAAAGTATATTTTTGGTAAGAACAAAAATATCTAATGTTTTTAACTTAGACTTAATTTGATATATTTTCATAGGTCTATGCAAGTAACTCATCTTGTCTCAATTTTTCCTTTGAGAGCTTTTAAAATCACAATTATTCTATACTCTTTTTTATGTATCCTGACACATTGGATAGTATTTTAGTTTCGTCATGGAAAAGAACGTTAGACGTGAAGACATTTTTCATTGTTAACTTTTAGCCTCATGCATTTTCATAATTTATTTTTTTCCACTTGCTGCTTTATATGACATATGTCACATTTTATTTAATACTGAATGTGATTTGCATAAAGCCAAACTGCACAACCCTCTTGCTGAAGTTAAAATCGAGGTAAGATTTATTTTCGTATTTGTACAGTGATTGGCTTCAGAGTGATGGTTTTTGTGGGCTTTTATTGTATATGTGTGTAAGAAATTTCACATGTATATATTAAGTAGGCCTCTAAGTATTGAATAATTATTTTATGATTTTGATTTTCATGGTTTACATTTTCATAGTATCAGCTATACTTCATTTATACTGTTTATTTCTCTTCCATTAATAATTATCCCCAAAACTATAATTTCTATAGCAATGCAAATGTCTAAGGAACTAAAAATATTTTCTGCATTGTCAATTCAATAAAGCATGCTTGCTTTGGTTTTCTGGGTGTTTCCTTCAGCTTTGCTGCAGGCATCCCTGAAGTAGTTTTAGTTCTAGGATGTGCCTACATGAAACGGTGCCTCTGAAACACTGGACAGGGCAGCAGGCTTCAGGGAGAATAGAATGAATGTGTGGTGGGCGGTGCTGCGGTACAGCCAAGGGTCCACAAGATGGAAATGAATCCCCAGCAAAGCATATTGTTTTTGCAAGCCTTAAACTAAAAATAACATCTTTTCTTTCCAGATCTAGATGTTAAGATATGTTTTCATGGCTGAAAATGGAAAATAGGCACAAATGCTTCCACTTGAAATTACAGGGTAAGATAAATCTTCAAGTGCAATGTTCTAGGAATAATTACCCAGTTTAAAATTTTTCTTTCTGCATCTGTGTATCGGGTTTATTTGTGAATTTGTATTTCTTAAATTTCCATAGAGTGGGAATTTAGCTGTAAGGCCTTTTAACTTGTGACCTCTTGGGCTGGTAGTGCACGAACCACGTTTCAGGGCATTTGACATACATTTTTGTAGAGTCTCATGCTGTCCTTAGGACTCTGGCTTTCTGAAAATTTTTCAGCCCTAGTTTTCCAGCACATCTTCCCATTGCTGTGCAGCCAGGAAGAACTCAAGAGCTGGATAAAGAGCTCTTCAGGGGGAGTCTTATGAGTAGTTCCAGTGTGGTTTTAGAAGTAAAATTAATGTTCTTTAATTTGCCACAAATATTGTCTCTTCTTGCTCAGTCATTCCAGAAACAGATATTTTACCTCTTAGATAAAACCAAAAAACTTCTTACCATGGTCTCTCAGGCCCTCTGTGATCTGCCTCCTAACTGTTCCCTCACTCATTCATTTGGGTTTATTGAGCCCGACCATGTCCTGGGTACGATCCTAGACACTGAGGGTGCAGAGTGGGTAAGACCAACTCTCAAGCAGATTTCGTTCTGGTGGGGGTTGACAACAAACTTGTAAACAGATAAAGAAGGTCCACATTCTGCCTCCTCCCCACCTTTCTCTACCCCAAGGTCCCCAGTCAGGCACAGGAAACCCTGTTCCTCCGACATCCCTGGCTCCCTCCCCTCCAGCCCTCTACTCGGCTCTGCATTCTGCCTGGAACACCACTCTGTCTGCTTGTGGCATCTGCCTGCCCAGCTCCTGTCCACCCTGCATGTCCCAGTTCAGAGACTGTTTCCTCCCGGCAGCTATGCCCAAACCCAGAGTCTGAGCTAAAGATTTCGACCCCCAGTGCCCATCTTCGTCAGACTGCGTGTATGATCAGCTCACCTGTGTGCCTGGCACGCCAGGGCATTTCTGTCTTCTGCCACCCTTCAGACCTCACTGAGGAGGGGTAAACTTTCCCCACTCCCGGTGCAAACTTCAGCAGCCTCATGATTTCTGATCCCTCTAGATCAGGGTCTCAAATTTTTTATGCCACAGACTCCTCTGAAGCCCAGAAACCCCTTGGAATAATGTTTTTAAATGAATAAAATAAAATACATAGGGTTATAAAGGAAACCAATGATATTGAAAGACTATTCCCAAAATGATATTCAACATTATTGGTGCTATTTTATTAGCACATTAAACAACAAAATCTGATGGTAGGTCTGTTAGCCACCATAATTTTGACATCATGATAAGCCAAATGGGATTTTGAGACATCTGCAAAGAATCTAATGCAAATTATAAATATCTGATTTCTACTGGTGACACAGTCACAGACACCAATAATCCTACCAGGGTTTGTTGTCAGCATTTTATAGTAAATGAAGTACTAAATTTTAATTAAAGTTTAGTGAAAATAAACATGTAATTTTTTTCCCATCCAAGGTAGAAATATAGATTTTTTTACCCATAGACCCAGTGGGTCCATGCCCCAAGTAGGAACCCCCACCCTGGGTTAGAAGTTCCAAACATAGGATATTCAGAAGAGAATTCCCACATAGTAATCAAAACTCCAAGCTTGATTTAGCAGTATTAGTCCTCTCCCTGCTCCAGCTCAGGCCTGCTTCCGCCTGGAGGCTCACTGTGGGAAGAGGGGCTTGGTCCTGCACCCCTGACTACCCCTTACTGCTGACACTCTCCCCGCCAGGCTCCAAGCAAGGAGAATATGGTGCTAACATCATAGATGCTGTTTTATTTGTTAGCAAGCTAAATCTCACAGAAAAAGAATGCACGTGGCCAGTGGTTCTTGACCATCACATATGCTGAAGTTTAAGGATAAAATGCAGTCCTTGGAGAAATCTGTTGTTGTCCACCTCCTGCCTTGTAACTGCAGCTCTGAAACTAGCCTGATTTACTCACCCCTCTTATAGCCATGAACAGGGGCGGAGGAAGTAAGAAAAGTATAAAGGTTAAGAATAAGAAATAGTGAATGTTTTCTGGGGTGAGGTGGCATATCATTTTTCTCCTCTCTAAAATCCCACTGAAACTGAGTCAAATGGATTTTTCTATAAAGATACAGATCCATAAAGACAGAAGACAATGGCAATAAAATTACAAAGCTAGAAAGTAGATGGAAAACTTGGAACCGAGTTAACAACCTAAGAAAGCTGAATCCTAAACCATAGTGGGGGGAAAGCTGAAAGCAATCTAGGTTTACATTGCAGGTTTCCCAAAAGGCTCAGGAACTGGCAGAAGCAGGTGCCACTGGAACTGAGAGTATAAAGGAAGGTGGTGTGAAAGCAGTTTGAGAGACAGCTTTATCCCTAAGCATTGTTCTCCCATGCTATGCCACTACCA